CCTCCAGCACCCGGAGCACCAGAAGCACCTGGACCAGCACCCTCCGCCGCAGCACCCCCCGAGTCGGCGACGTCAGCACCAGAGGCCCCAGCAGCGTCAGACCTCCCCTCGCCAGCACCTCCAGAACCAGCAGGACCACCGTGTCCAGAACCGTCAGCTCCAGCGTCGTCAGCTCCAGCAGCTCCAGTACCGCCAGGAAGAGCACCCCCAGGCTCCGTAGGCTCAGCAGCAGCACCCCCAGGCTCAGTACCCTCAGGCGCAGTACCCCCAGGCTCAGCACCCCCAGACTCCGTACACGCAGGCTCAGCACCCCCAGTCGTAGCACCCCCAGGCTCAGCACCCCCAGGCGCCGAACTCCCAGGCACAGTACCCTCAGCTCCAGCACCCGCAGTCCCAGCACTCCCAGGCCCAGCACCCGCAGGCTCAGCACCCCCAGGCTCAGCACTCCCAGCAGCACCACCTGCAGCAGCACCTGAGTCACCTGTGACCTCGACAGGCTCAGCGACGGGAGGAGGGTCTACCTGAGAGACACCTGAAGGAGCAGGACCCTGAGGGGGAAGGGGGTCTACCGGAGGGGGACCAGGAGCAAGGAAAAGCGGCGGGGGAGGGAGGGGGGCAGTGCGGTAGGGGAAGAGACGGTAAAAAGGGACCGACTCGTCAAAGGTGACGTTTTGAGAGGCGAAGACCCGGCGCGAGGTGGGGTGGTAAAACTGCCAGCCCGGCGCGTCAGGGACAAAGCCAAGGAAGACACAGGGAAGTGTGCGGGAGGAGAGCTTGTCCGCGGACGTATCGCGGACAAGGGCACGAGCACCCCACACCCGGAAGCGCGACGCATCGCCAACCTCCCCCGTCCAACGCAATGTGGGCGAGGTCTCCGGCAAGGAGACACGGGGCCAGAGGTTGAGCTGATGCGCGGCGTACCGGACAGCAAACGGCCACAGAAAATGGGGAGCCGCCGCGTGGACCAAGGAGGTACGAGCGACTTCCGTGACCAGGCCAATGCGGCGCTCAGCAACCCCATTCTGCTGTGGGGAGTCCGGAAGCGTGAAGGTCTGCTCGATGCCCTCCGCCTGACAGAAGGTCCTCAAGAGATCGGAGGAAAACTCACCACCTCTGTCAGAGTGCAGACGCAGGACAGGAAGATCCGTCCGGAAACGGCGGCGGAGCTGGAGACGAACGGTGCGGATCCAAGGGATCAGAACAGCAGGGACCTCACCCTTGGTGCGCAAGGGGAAGACCGTGGTGTAACGCGAGTAGTCGTCGACAACCAGCAAAAAGTACCGCTCACCGCCCTGGCCACGAACGCGGGCTGGGCCCCACACGTCCAGGTGGAGGGTCTGCAGAGGAGCCTCTGTCGGGGGGAACGAGGAGGAGTGAGGAGCGGCGCGCTGCCGCCCCTCGACGCAAGGAAGGCAGGGCGGCGCAGGCGAGGCAGGGAGGGGAGGGAGGGACCTGGGAAGACCAGACACAAGGCGGCGACGGTGCATGCCACGGAGGCGTGGCAAGGAGGGGTGACCCAGGCGGTGGTGCCAGAGAAGAGTCTGGTGCGACAGGGAACGACACTCACAGGCGTGGGCCACTAGACCTGACGCGGACACCTGACCGACAGCAGCGACCTGAGGAGACGTAGTGGTCAGTGTGTAGAGACTCGACCCCGGCCGACGGGTAAACGTAGCCAGGTGACGGCCGGTCCTAGAGCACGTGCAGATCGCCACACGCTGTCCTCCAGGGGTAAAGGTGTCAACCCACTGATCCTGGATGACAGCGTTGCTCACCAGGTTCGTCGAGAACGAGGGGAGGTGGAAACCCGACAACGAGCCAGACGGAACCGCCGGACAAGGGAGTACAGTGGTGGACTGGGCAAGGACTGGGCCCCCAGAGGGGTCAGCCAAGGAGACTAGGACCGGTGCAGGAAGCGGTGTGAGCTCAGTACTGTCACGAAAGAAACAACGGGAAGCACCTGAGTCAAGGGTGAAGGTGTAACAGGCTTCACCCGGTGCGGTACCTGAGAGAGCAGTCTCTGTGGGTGCTGTACCTGAGAGAGCAGACTCGCAAACAGCCGGGACAGCACTGGAGGGAGCAAGTACAGGGGGCACCATACCAGAGAGAGCAGACTCACTAGTACCCAGGGCAGCGGGCTCTATACCTGGGTCAGGCGGCACACACAAGTAACAGTCTCCCTCGGCACTAACAGTCAATGCATACATGGCAGCAATAATAGCATCATAGTCAAGAGCAAAGATATCAACACCAGCCTCATGAGCTCAGCCCAGCGGGGGCGCTCAACATCCTCGCCCATCTCCTCACGCCAGGCGTCGTCAAGGCGGGAGAAGCAGCGGTACGGGGTGTGGAACCTCCCACACGTCTGTCCCTTGCGGTCACCTGTGCGAATGACATAGGAACAGCGGCCACTGCCCCCCGACGTCCCACGCTGAGCAAGCCACTCACGAAGCTGCTGGGTCGTCTGGGGACGCTGCTGCTGCTGGGAGCTCTGGCCCGAGCCAGTGCCTCCACTCCGACCTCCGCCGCCACCACTACCACCGCTCCGACCGCCACCGCCACCACCGCCACCGCCGCCACCACCGCCGCCGCCGCCACCGCCGCCGCCGCCACTACTGCCACTGCTTCCTCCGCCGCCCCCGCCTCCACCGCCGACCCCACTCCCACCAGCGCTCCCGCCACCGCTCCCTCCAGCACCGCCTCCAGCACCGCCTCCCCCCCCACCTCCCCCACCTCCTCCCCCCCCAGCGCCACCCCCGCCACCCCTTCCCCCTTGCCCTTGCCGGTGCGGCGCCTCCCACCAGGAGCAGAAGCAGCGCCAGCAGACTCAGCACCAAGGAAGTCAACAGCAGCAGCAGCAGCGTAGGAGGGAGCGAGGGGAGAGGGAGAACACCCCTCAAAGATGGGGGTGCGAGGAGCGCCACGAGCAGCACCGACAGCTACAATGCTCTTTTCGGCCGCTAGCAGCTGCTCCTCTAGGAGGGCGACTGTGAGCTCAGTGGGACAGCGAGCAAGGAAGTGGTCTCGAACTGAGCTGAGGGTGTCAGGGAGACGGGTGACTATGAAGTGGAGTGTCCAGTACAGTGGAGGGGGATTCTTAGCGCAGAACTCGGTGGGAAGGGCGGCACGCAGGCGAGCATCACTAGTGCGAAGGTGGGTGATAAGATCGGCGACTGTAGCAAAGGTGGACAGCTCAGGGAACAGGTACGGCAGCATGAGGCGGCTAAGCTCGGCTGTGGCAGGCGAGGAGTAGCGAGCAACGACAGCATCGTACAGGGCCTTAGCGGATTTGCAGTCGCCAAAATGCTCGAGCTCAGCTAGCGGCAGGTGACTGCGAATGGCTAGGCGAGCAGCTGCGTCACGAGTCTGCCAGTGGGAACGAACACTAAGCTCAGCTGTGGCAGGAGGGGCAGGTGCAGCACCAGACGCGTAATCATAGAGCGACACATGCTCCTTGCTATCGCTCAGAAGGAACAGCTGCAGGTCATCCAGCCAAGTGGCGAACTTCACAGGGCGGCCCTCAGCATCGAACGACAGCACGCGGATGGAAGCCATAGCGACAGTGCGACTGAGCAAAGGAAGCTGCCGCAGCGCTGCAGGTAGGTAGCTCGGCGGGAAGCGCGGCGGGCGGGCGACGCGGCGAGCGGGCAGTGCGGGGGGCGGGCTACGAAGCGGGCAGCGCGGTGGGCAGGCGGCGCTGCAGGCGGGAAGTGCGGCGGGCGGGCTGCGAAGCGGGCAGCGGGGCGGGCGGGCGACGCGGCGAGCGGGCAGCGCGGCGGGCGGGCTGCGAAGCGGGCAGCGGGCGGGCGGGCGACGCTGCAAGCGGGCAGCGGGCGGGCGACGCTGCGAGCGGGCAGCGCGGCGGGCGGGCTGCGAAGCGGGCAGCGGGCGGGCGGGCGACGCTGCAAGCGGGCAGCGGGCGGGCGGGCGACGCTGCGAGCGGGCAGCGCGGCGGGCGGGCTGCGAAGCGGGCAGCGGGCGGGCGGGCGACGCTGCAAGCGGGCAGCGAGGCGGGCGGGCGACGCTGCGAGCGGGCAGCGCGGCGGGCGGGCGACGCTGCGAAGCGGGCAGCGGGCGGGCGGGCGACGCTGCAAGCGGGCAGCGGGCGGGCGGGCGACGCTGCGAGCGGGCAGCGCGGCGGGCGGGCTGCGAAACGGGCAGCGCGGTAGGCGGGCGACGCTGCGAGCGGGCGGCTCGGCGGGCGGGCGACGCTGCGAGGGGCGCGCGAGGGCGCTAACGAGAGGCGCACGAGGGCGCTAACAAGGGCGCGCGAGGGCGCTAACGAGAGGCGCGCGAGGGCGCTAACGAGGGCGCGCGAGGGCGCTAACGAGGGCGCGCGAGGGCGCTAACGAGGGCGCACGAGGGCGCTAACGAGGGCGCACGAGGGCGCTACGAGGCTAGGGCACGGGGTAGCGTGGTAACCGCATGCGAGCGGTGGTGGGCCCTAAAAAAAAACGGTCGGTAGGTCCTAGGGACCTCCTGCTCTGAATACCATGTGAAAAGAACTAGGCAAGAATGATGCATTGAAAGAAACAGTTGGGTACAAGTAGCTAACCCTAGTTGGGTTTGTACCCTGTATTGGCTACCCCACTACAGCCTATTTACATATAAATAACACATTACAACTTAACACTGCCGTGTTCCTTGCTGCTGCCTGCCTGCATGCGATCACTCTATTGAACTAACGGTTGGCCCACAGCCAACAGAGCTTCCTGTAATGTTATACCGATACACCCCCTCGTGACAGCAAGCACAGTACATTCAAACTCCAGCATTTATTTTGCATGAACAGCAGTTATGGTAGTATACAGCAACAGGTGACATCCTTGACAGCCATCAATGCACTCCTGCTGCAAACGAGAGACCAACAAGGCAACTGATGCCTCCCAGCACAGCATTTACAAGCATCCACAGCAAGCAAGCGCGTTGCTCAATTCCATGCCTCCCTCAACCTAACCCTTCACGTTTGTATGCTGCCTCACGTACTCTCCTCCCATGCTTCACCCAACCAGGGCGTCCCCATGAGCCCTGACGCGGTAGATGCAGGTGAAGTTAGGATGCCCATAGTTGGACAGCACACGCACTCGCACCATGCCAATGCCCATGCCATCGCCACCACCCGCTTCCTCCACCGCCTCCCCCACGCTGAATGTCTGAACCGGCCCGCCCTCCAGCTCGTACCTTGCCACTGCCAGCCGCTGCCACTCGCCCTCCTCCACTGCTCCACCTGCACCGCTTGACCCTGCCGCCTCACTCTCCCCGCACACCATTCGCCTCACTGCTGCCAGCAGCAGCAGTGGCGGCAGCAGCAGCAGCAGCAGCGGTGGTGGTGGTGGCCGGGCGCCTGCCCCAGAACTCCACGTCCTTGGGTGCGCTGTGAATCTCGTACGCAATGCTCTGCCAGGGAAGGGGGCACAGCCATGAGATCGACACGTGGGATGTGCACGCATAGGGCAGTGTGCAGCACTCCAGCTAGGACAAGCAGTGGACTAAAAGCCCCGCCCGGCACGAGGGATGAGGTGTTTAAACAAGCAGCGAACACGTGAGCACAGAGCAAGGAGCAGCATTAGAGCAAGCACAGTCCTGGAGGGAGCGGGGGCATGGAGGGCGCACCTTGGGCAGGTGCTCAAGGGTGAAGGCGCGCGGCACAATGGTGGAGCGCAGGCGGATGTCAATGTGCCCCTGCTGCCCCTTGAGCGGCAGGCAGTTACCAGGGAACCGCCCAGGCGTGAGCACCACCTGTGCGTTGGGGTGCAGCAAGTCCGCCTCCTGCTCCTTGCCGCTGGATGCAGCAACGCCTGCGCCCGCAGCACCGGAGGAGGCGAGGCGAGACACGGTGCTGACCACCTGGCTCCACCGGCGCTTCTGCTGGCGCTGCTGCTGCTGCTGCCGCGTGTACAGCGCATCTGAGTGCGCCACACGCGCCCCCCGCCAGTGGCGAGGGCATAGTCGGCGCGCTCTATGTCGTCCGTGAGGTGCCGCTGCAGCTGCTCCTCCACCACCCTCTTCGCCGCCGCCCTCACGTCGTCCAGTGTCAACGCCCGCCCCTCCACCTCCTGCGCCCTCTCCTCTGCCACCTGGTACGTGCGTTTCACGGTGAGACACAGGAGGAGAGAGAGGTGCACGGGCATGAGTCGTGCGGCCAACCTCTTTGACTGGGGGCTGTGGATGGGGCCGGAATTCAAGTTTATTCATGGAAAAGCAACAGATTTTGCAGCCAACAAGCAGGACACGGACTTAAAGTGCGGATGTAGGTTGCAGGACAGCAAGGGGAAGCAGGCAAGGGAGATACGAGGGCAAGGGGCGGTGGGCGAGCGGGAGCACCTGCTGCACGAGCTGCACGACCTCCTGGCGCACCATGGGCCCCCGTTGGCAAGAATCTGCAGCACGGCGGCGTCCGTCTCCTGCACCTTCACGCCAAGCTGCTCCAGTCGCCTCTCCAGCTCCGCTGCATGCGCCGCTCGCACCTCCTGCTCCTTGCTCACCGCGCCCAGCTTCGAATCCAGTGTGTCCGCCTGCACCTGCCGCCCACCACGCATGCCATGGCACCACGCACCACGCACGCGCACACACACACACACACACACACTCTCTCTCTCTCTCTCTCTCTCTCTCTCTCTCTCTCCCCACACACACACACACCACAGTGTCACCATGCCATGTAGGAGCACGAAATTCAGACGTTGTATTCAGGGAAATACTATTCAAGAGGGGCAAAAAAAAATGGAACGCCTCCTTTTCCTATTTTCGGTGAACATGCAAAAACGACCTTTTCGATCGCTTCGCCCCCATCCTCAAACGTCGCCCTTCTCTCCTGCCCCTTGCCAATTTCTCCCCCTTCACTCCCCCTCCTCTCTCCCCCGTCTCCCCCTACCTGCAGCGCCTGCGCCATGGACTCGGTGCGCTTCTCCAGCCGCACCACCACCTCCTGCAGCCTCTCCACCGCCGCCTGCTGCGCCTTCGCCGCCGCAGATGCCGCGGCCGCCATGCGCTCAGCGCGGTTGGCCCCCCACCACAGCCGCCAGCCCGACTCGTCCGCCACGGAATGGGAGCTGCCGCCCGGGACGAGGCGGAGGAAGTAGGCGCTGATGACCACCGCCAGCACCATGGGCAGCACCACCGGCACCGCGGGGTGCCGCAGCACCGCGCTCAGCCTCTGCGCCGCCGCTGCGCGGACCGATTCCTCCCCCGCTGTTCCTGCCGAACGGCCCGGCAATGCGCCCTTGCCCGCTGCCGACGCGGGACTCCTGGCGGCGCCCAGCGCGACGAGCGACGACTTGAGCGCCGCCTTCACGGCATGCGCGGTGCCCGCCGTGCTCGTGCCCAGCCATGCGAAGTTCCCCGATACCGCGCGGCGGTGTCCTCCCGTCGCAGCGTCGCCGTCTCGGAACCCTGCCGCAGCCCCCCGACCATCGGTCCCCTCGCGATCGGCCGCACCTGCCGACGGGTGCCCGCCTTGATCTGCCCCTGCGGCCGCAGCAGCGCCTGTCGCACCGAGACGGGAAGACGCGGGCTTGCTTAAGACGTCGTCGTCGTCGTCACCCGCCTCACCACCACCCGTAACTGCATCTTTTCGTTTTCCCGATCGGCCGCCCAGGCTTTCTACGCCGGCCGCATCACTTGTCGCCGCAGCAGCTCGCGACGTTGCCGCAGATGAACCTCGCTTGCGACCTCTGCCGGCAGGCGTCGCGATGCTCAGACCAGCGGTTCCGCCTGCGATTGCGCTCATCGCGGCGAGAGGTTTACAAAAACGTGTTGCTAAGGAGGCCGCAGGGTGGAAGCAAATCTTCTGGTGTGGTGTGATGGCGTGTTTCCGTGATGGATGAGGAAAAGTGGGAGCGCGGGAATTCGAGTCATGACTGCACGCACGGGAGGAACAATTCTCGAGGTCCTTGGAAATCCAAGGGTCCGATGTTGCCGTCGCGCGATCTGGGTTCGCATGCAGAGCGACTGCCTACACCACCCGCACGCTTGTGCTGACATATGTTACGAACTTGTTATTTCTTGAAGTTTATGAGAACCAAAATGGGTTGCTCATGTAGAAATGTACTGGTACTGAATTTAACGAAGCCGCGCTTATTTGACAACGGGAGTTCCTTTGCGTAGGCAGAAAAGCAGGAGCCACTCCTGTGGCTGCCTTTAGCTGATCCATTGCCACATCATCCTTCTGGCGCACCACACTTCCCGCCTCTGCGCCATTCACCCCCCCTGCACTCGTCATCCGGCCGCCATCGCAACCACATTCACCCGCGCGACACCCACTTCCGCCACAAAAGAAACAACTCTCGAGGGAGACCACCATCACACCTCCGCGCCTCTCCCCCACCCCTGCTTTCGCCTTTCCCTCGTTGCTTCCTCATCCATCGAAGTTGGTTTCCCTTCACTCAGCCCAAGCCACCCCTTCCCAACGCTCACTGCCACACCCCTCTAGAGTGCATCGCCCGTCGCCATGGCTACCCTCGACTTGCTGGGCTTGGCGCTCCCTGTGCCCCGCGCGTCGCCTTCATCGCAGCCCGCCCGTGCGACTGTTGCAGGCTCCCTCCGCGTCGCGTCGCTGCCAGCAGTGCGTGTGGCGAGCCGGCGACCGCTTCAAGTGGTGGCGGTCGCAGCGGGCTCCGTGGATGCCGATTCATCAGCCGGTACGTACAGTGCGCGGTGTTTCATCTGCGCATGCTCTCCCTCGCGCGCTCAACAAATGCGCTACTACACTCGAGCGGAGATGCTGCGCGGACCATTCTGCCTGAGCTTGCGCCTGCCAAATAATGTTAGACGAAAATAATCTGGCGTGTCGTGACTGTAGGCGGCGCGGAATGTGGGAAGAGTGAGGATTCGGGCGAGGCGTTGGAATGGGCGCGCTTGTGTACATCCAACACGAAGTCCAGCGTTCAAGGCTGTAGGCAGGGCGGACGCGTATAAGGATCTGGTTGCGTGGGCGGGTAGGTCGACAACGTGAGAGTACATGCTCTGCATCGCGCGGTATCTGGACAGCCGTGCATCCAGGTCCGCACGATTGCGCATGCCGCATTGTCAGCTGCTAGATCCCTTCCAAAAATATTCGTGTTCCCTCCCCTCTCTCCTCCGCCCTCTCATCGCCACTCCTCCTCCCCCACGTACCCCACTCCCCCCGTCAGACCTGGTGCTGGTGGATCACTACAAGCGGCTCGGCGTCTCCAGAAACGCCAACAACGCCGAGGTGAGATCGCCGCCGCGTGCGCGTCGCGCTGCACACGAGCTCGCTGGTCACCACACTGACTTGTCGCCTTGTCAGTGAAATTCCAGAGGCCGGGCTTTAAGGAACTTATGAGAAACGCAATTGAAGTCGGTCGCCGAAAGAGGCGATGAGGTAGATACGGGGCATGTGGCCGTTTGTTCCACTCCCTCCCTCGCCCTCGCGCGCTCTTATCCCAACCTCTCCGTCGTCGCTGTCGCCATCTGTTCCTCGCCCTGCCTCTCCGTCTCCACCTCGCTCCTCACATCCGCCCCTCCCTTCTTCCATGCGCCCTTTCCATTCCACTGCTGCCCGTCTCCCTCTCTCCCTCCGCCACCCCCTTTCCCAATGCCCCCTTTTCCCGCCCGCCACCGGCCTGCGTCGTCGGCGCAGATCTTTAAAGCGTTCGAGGCGCGGTGCGAGCAGCTGACGAGCAACCCGAACCTGGACGAGGAGGCGGCCCGGCAGCAATTGCTGTCGCTCGAGGCGAGTGGGGAGAAGTGGGAAGAGCGAGGGAAGGCGAGCGAGGGAGGGCTGTGCACGCGGTGGCGGGTGTTGGTTGGTGGGCACTGGCAGCGAGTGGGGTGGGAAGGCAGGGAGGGAGGAAGACAGGGAGGGGGCATTGGTGGAGAAGAAAGAGTGGGTCATCTGGGTGTGGAATGATGGATATAAGCTATGAAACTTGCAAGAATGGATGGGGCAGTTGGTGTTGAAGCTCCTACCAAGAATCATAAACCACAGGCCATGCCACCGTGCCCCTATCCGCCCCCTCAACCAACCCACGCTCTGTGCTCCGCATTCCCCATCCCTCCAAACCGCATCCATCCATCCATCCATCATCCATCCGTCTGAACCGCATTTTCCACCCGCGTGCGTGGGCGCCATGTGTGGTTGCGCACAGGTGTCACTGGACGTGCTTCAGAGGAGGAGCGGCGGCTGTACGACTGGGCCATCATCCGTGCGGAGCAGGGCAGCGCTGCCGACTACGTGTGGCCCTTTGAGACCGACGTCACTCAGAAGAACTTCACCCAAGGCGTCGGCAACCCACCCCGCCCGGTACCCTTTCTCTCTCCCTCACCCTCTCCTCCGCTCACTGTGGCATGCTCTCCCTCTACTCGCATGCTCTCTCCCTCTACTCGCATGCTCTCTCCCTCTACTCGCATGCTCTCTCCCCCTCACCCATGTCCGCCCATACCCTGGCTTCCATGCATGCTTTTTCTAAATAACAAGCTTTCCTCCCCCGCCTGCCCCTCTCTCCCATGGCCACCAGATGAGTCCCGATGACCCCGAGGGCACAGCCAAGCTGGGTTACTTCTTCCTCGCCTGGTTCGCTCTCTCCTGCGTCCTCAGCCTCACCCTCCACTAGTCGCTGCCTCCCATCCACCACCTTTCCACCTGCCGCTGCCCTGCATGCCGCTCATGCCATGGTTGCATGTGGGGCTGCTCTAGTGGCAGTATTCTTTCCAGCTTGCACTTGTGTCATGCACGGATGATGATTTGTCGATGCAATTTCAAGCTGGAACGGTGGATTTTTTCCTCGATATCTGAATGTGCAAATCGTAGAAATAACGTTAATGCAGTTGAATGCCGTGTTTGTCGCCTGCTTTTGCTTGGTGCGAGGGTGATAGTTGCCTATAGTTGATTATCAGAGCTGTCAATAAGAGCTTCTCAACCAACTTTTTCTCCCCTATCCCCTGACACATTGTTCTCCATCAACCCAACTGGTCCTGATAGGTTTCAGTAAGTACTGTACCATCTTAATTTTGTTGCTTGTAGTGCGTAGTATCGTGCCTATCCCTCAACTTCATGAATTAGCGTTACCGTCATCGCCCGGATATAAGACATATATGTCTTATCTCGTACACGGGCAAAAATGCTTGCTGTATCTTGTAAACGGGATGGTTTAGGGTGTCTTATAAGTCTTATAAATGGAAAAAAATTAAGTTGAGTGTAACACTTGCAAAGTGTGTAGAAAACACCCAGGGACCAGATTCATTGAAACAGGCCGCCCTCGGTGGCCATACATGCACCGCCCACACTTGCCACGCAAGGGATGCAGCAAAGCTGCCACCGCTGGCAAGATTCCTCTGTGCTGGCAGCATCTAATGATGCTGCCAGCGTCGTTTTGCTGCCAGCAGCGCATGGCAGCTTCCAGAAGGCTGCCAGCAGCACGTTGGCAGCAACAGGGCTGTCCTCTACGAGGACATTCCTCGTAGAGGAGCGGCTCGGCACCTGTGGTTGGGGCACTCTGGCAGGGGGGGTAGTCGGGCTTTCACTTCATTTGGTGCTCATGGAGGTTGAGTTCTCACCTAAACCTTGCTCTCGGCAGGCTCTCTAACCATGCGCAGCAAGGTACCCCTAGGCAAGTCCTCACCTCGTCCTCACGTCCATGTGAATAACTAGGGGCGAATCAACTCGCCCGGCGATGACATCCGCGTAGCCATGGCGAAGAACGCGAGCAAGGCGGGAAGTCCTACCGCCGCCTCCGGTGCGAGCTGTGACGGGGACGACCAAGACGAAGCACAAGGCGACGACGCGGCGGAGGATTGGCCGGAGAACGGCCACGATGACAGCGCTCGGGCGACGAATTAGGTCCCGCCGACATTGAGGAGGACGAATGGTGGAATCAGCCGGTCGGGAGCGACGACGAGGTTGAAGAGTGGCGGGCTGGAGATTCCGACGGAGACGGAGGTGAAGATGCTGGCGGGGAACATGCGGAGGCACAGGAAGCGGCGGTGGCAGCCGACGAGGCCGAGGCGGAACGCGAGACAGCGGCGCCTACGGATGCGGACGCGGTGGCGGAGGCGCAAAAGGCGGCTGCTGATGCCGTCTTATTTGACGGCGAGGGCACCGACGACGACCCCTGGAGCCTTGCTTCGGACGACGACGTGCCGCTACTGAAGCGGAGGCTGCGCCATCGCCTGCAGTCCACGACGAAGCGCACCCGCGTGGTGCTTTCGGACGACGACAGTGCCGGGGAGGAGCGTCGCCCCCTGCTCACCGCTGCGGAGAAAGGAAAGGCAAAGGTCGTGGAAGCCCCTGCCAAGTCCCCTGCTAAGGCCCCTGCAAAGGCCCCTGCTCATCGCCGCACAAGCAACAAGAAGCGCAAGGACGACGGTGACCCTGGATCCAGCAAGGGCGCGGCTCGGAAAAAGGCGAAGAAGGCGCCCAATCCTTACGACATCGTCGTCAACGAGGCGTTGGGCAGCGACGATGAGTACGCGGCGGCGGCGGGCCCGATTCCCACGTTCCCTGAAAAGGAGGCGCCGAAGGACCCCACCCTCTCTAATCCCAACACCCGCCCACCTTCTGCTCGCAGCAAAGACACCACGAAGAAGCGTCGCAGCTGGACCGTGCGGGAGAAGCTGAAGTGAGCGCGCCGCTATAAGGAACTCGGCTCCCTGAAGAAAACGAGCGCGGAGTCCACCGCGAGCGTCGCCTGCATCAGACGCTGGAGCGCGGAAGCGGTTGTGGGCATGTACAAGGGCGCGGCTAACTGCCGCAAGCGGATGCACGGGGGGGGGCGCCACGCGCACTACCCCGACATGGAGGCAGCGCTGTACCGCTACATCTGCCTTCAACGCGCTAACGGGGTGGCCATCTCGGTGAAGGACACCCAGAAGTGGAGCCGCGAGTGGATGAAGAAGCCCTACCCCGGCAAGAACTGGAACGCGAGCTCTCACTGGAGCCAGCGTTTCCGTGACCGCTGGAACCTGGTGATGCGGGTGATAACGAAGGTCGGACAACGCCTATCGGCAGGTGCGTGGATTAGGAGTCTAACCATGACCCGCGGACGGCCCGTTGTATGAATGTCTTCCCCTGCTCGCTGTCTAACCGCCCTCCCACGCTTACCTTCCTGTCCCGTTTGCAGAGTGCGCGAAGGACTGCGAGTCCTTCTGGAAGTTCGTGCGCATCAACAAGGCGCGGCACAACATCGACCTGGCCCGCATCATCAACGCGGACCAGACGCCACTTTTCGTGGAGATGCCGGCCGAGAGGACGATAGAGCACCGTGGCGCGCGCTCGGTCCCAATCCGCACTGCAGGCTACCAGAAGACGCGCTTGACGGTGATGCTAGCGTGTACCGCATCCGGGGAGAAGCTGCGGCCGTGGGTGTGGTTCAAGATGAAGAACGTCCCCAACTGTGAGATTCCAGACGGTAAGCGCCGTGAATTCTACCCTGCCCTTGCCGTGCGAGCGTGCCCCACTGTGCTGATGCACTTCTGTCCCTTGTGTGCCTGGCAGGAATCGTGGTCCAAGCACAGGACAACGGGTGGATGGACGAGAGCGCTGTGCAGACCTGGCTGTCGAAGGAGGTGCTGCCCCATCTGAACCCGGGCGCGGCAAGAGCGCAAGGCGTGCGATGCTGGTGTTGGACTCCTACCGCGGCCACATCACCCAGACCATGTTGCAGTTGTACCGCACGCACAGCATCACCCCTGCCGTCATTCCAGCGGGTTGTACGAGCCAGATTCAACCCCTGGACGTCTCCATCAACCGGTGCTTCAAGGCTGCCGTTTGAGCGCGCTACGCCCGGTGGTTCATGCGCGAAGGGATCCACCTGAAGACGAAGAAGGGTGAGTTGGCGGTTCATTTCCCATTCCTGTTCTGTGCCGTGTCCTTGTCTTTAACTGTGCGATGCTGTGTGTCCTCTGTCCCACCCGCCAGGGAACTTGCGGAGGCCTCCGCACCCCGTGGTGCTGCAGTGGATCGCGGAGGCGTGGGACCAAGTCCCCAGGCAGATCATCATCGACGCGTTCCGCCACTGTGGCATCTCCAGCAAGCTGGACGGAACGGAGAATCACCTGGTGATGTCTCACCTGCGCGCCAGGAGCACCACCGATGTCTCCGAGGACATGTCCCTCGGGGGGGACCACAGGCGACAACACGCGCCTGCACAGGAAGGCTCCAGAGGAGGAGGAGGAGGAGGAGGAGGAGGAGGAGGAGGAGGAGGAGGAGGAGGAGGAGGAGGAGGAGGAGGAGGAGGAGGAGGAGGAGGAGGAGGAGGAGGAGGCGATGCAGGCGGAGGGCGTGCGGGAGGTGGCCGTGGCAACTGGACTGGAGGTGCTGTACCAGGAGAACCCCAACTACCGCGGAGCGGCGGCCGAGGCTGACCGCATGATCGAGCCTAGGGAGACGGCTAGGCATGCCTGGCGAGTGCCAGACCTGAGTGTGGAGCCTGTAGCTAGTGCTCCCGAGGAGGCGGTGACCGAGGGGGGTTAGGTAGAAGTAGAGATTCATGCATGTATGGATGTACCCGCCCAAAGTAAGAAAGGTTCATTTAGAAGACACCCCCTCTTTATAAGAAAACCCCTAAACCCCTGCTCTGATTATAAGACATATATGTCTTATCTCGTACACACAAATAGGTGTCGTATAAAAAGGCTATCCCGTTTATAAGAGACCGTATTGTAGACACCCACTGTCTACTATTCAACACTGTCTTATATCCGGGCGATGACGGTACCGTGCGCTGCCCTCCACAACTCAAGAATCGTCAACAGCACTCCCAGTCAAACGAGCCTCCACTACAGCACATTCTTCTTGCTGATGCTCCTTCCTCCCCTTGCTCCCGTCCTCTCTGCACCATGTCCCTGCTGCACCCTCCTGCCACCTGGCCCCTGCACCTGCCCCTGAGTGTGGCGCAGCACCCAGGGGTGGCACAGCAGGGTGGAGAGGGGCAGGCGTTGTGAGGGCTGGCGCACGAGCAGGCGGCAAATGAGGTCCTTGGCGGGCTGGGACACTCGCACGTGCAGAGGGAAACGCACATCCACCTCTCCTATGCTGCCAGGCACACACACAGGGGCACGGAAGGCAAACACAAAGGGGAGCAAAGAGCGGGAATTGAGTAGACTATACCAAAGGGAGAGGTGGATGGGGGGGGAGGAGACAAGTGGGACAGGCAGCGTGGGGGGGTGGAGGAGGTGGTGTGTCTCACCGCCTGTATGTTTCAGTTTGTGGGGCGCCTCAAAGGGCGGGCAGCCCACGAGCAGCTCATAGAGCAGCACGCCCAGCGCCCACACGTCCACCTCCCTCCCGTGCTGCTCGCCCTCCACTGCTTGCCGCAGAGGAAGGGGAGGGGGAACAAGCACATAGGCTCTTGGGGTTGATGTGCGGGCAAGGGAAGGTTGACGAATTGAGATGGTGAGGGAGAAGGGTCTGATGAGGAAAGAGCGACGAAGGGAGAGAGAGAGAGAGAGAGAGAGCGAGAGAGAGAGAGAGAGAGAGAGAGAGAGGAGAGGGAGAGAGAGAGAGAGAGCGGAGAGAGAGCGAGAGAGAGAGGAGCAGCGAGTGTCACGCACCCATTTCAGGGGGAAGGTAGTCAAGAGTGCCGCACACAGTGGTGCAGGTGCTGCTCTCGCTGGTCCGCGTGGCCCACCCAAAGTCCGCCAGCTTCACCTCGCCCTGCCCCGGATAGAACCGGGAAAGGAGGATGGATAGGGGAGGCTCCAGTGGGATGGGTTTTGGGGCGGATTCTAAGACAGGAGTGCTGCGCAGTGACAGAGTGAGATGCACAAGCGGAGGCGGATGGTGGGGCCTGGTGACGGTACTGGAGAATGGCGGCTCACGGTGTTGGCGGCTGACCTGATGGGAGAGCAGCAGGTTCTCGGGCTTGATGTCGCGATGCACCACCCCACGCTCGTGCACGTACAGCAGTGCGCGCGCCACTCCTGCCACGTGCTGCCGTGGGGCACGCACAAGGGACGGCGAGAGGAGACAGGGAGGGAGGAGGCACGAAGAGCATTGAGGGAGCGGCGCAGGCGCGAGTGCAGTTCCCGTGGCGTGGGACACAGTGCACGAGCAAGCGAACCCGGCAGCGCCCGTTGGTGGTGCCGTGCAGGAGAGGCAGTGCATGGGACACAGGGAGGCGACGCAGTGGGGACATTGACCCGTCACCCAGCCAGCATTCACGAGGAGAGCCAGCAATGCTCGCAGTGTTCACAGTGCTCGCATTCCTCCTTGTGCTCGCGCTGTTCCCAGTGTACCAGCGGTGCTGCGCGTACCTTGGCGGCCTGCCCTTCCTGCAGCCTGGTGCGCGCGCGCAGCTGGCGGTACAGCTCGCCGCCCGCCGCCAGCTCCAGCACCAGGTACACGAACGCCTGCCGTGGGGGCACGCGCACACGGGAGGAGAGAAAGCGAAGGAGGAGGAGCGTTTTGAGAGAATGCAGCGAGACGGTGGCGGTACTTGTTAGCGCAGTGGCACGTACGGCGGACGACAGTGGGTGCCACAAAGTGGGCGCGGCGGCACGTGAGGGTGGCCCGCAAGTGACTGTTGATTGGGCTGAAGATTCTTGCGGCGCTGCGCGGCAAAAGAGGCGCGCGCCCGCACCTGGTCGTAGAAGTAGCCGTAAAGGCGCAGCACGTGCGGGTGGCGCAGGTGCGCGTGGATCTCGATCTCGCGCCGCAGCTGCTCCTCAAGCCCCTCCTCGCGCACCTCGCGCTTGCTCACCGCCTTCAGCGCCACCGTGCGCCCGCTCTGCTCATGCGCGCGCGCCAGGGGAGCGTGGGGGACGCGGCGGATGAACGGCGGGCATGTGGGATCGAGGAGGAAGGGGGAGTGGCTTAGAGAGAGATGAGAGGAAAGGAGTGACGCGAAGAGGTGTGGACGGGGAGGGGAAGGTTGCAAAGAACGACGAGTAGTCGGGAAATGCGGCTAGCGAGAGCAGCAGGCGGGACGCGATATCCGTGCTCTCTCACCTCTCGTTCGCGAGCCATGAACACGGTTCCGAACTTGCCGCGTCCCAACGGTCGAATCACCTCGAAGTCGTCCAAACTCCACCGCCGCCCTTCCCCTCTCGGCCCCGCCTCCTTCGGCTCCGCGGCCGCGCCCTCCCCCTCTCGCGCGTTCCGCGCCCACTCAAGCGCATCCCCCTCGTTTCCTTCATGTCGCTCCCGCGCGTGCTCCTCTGTCCCGCAAACTGTCTTCTCATCCTCCCCGCACGTTCTCCCCTCTTCCAGCCTTCCAGCTCCCGCCGTGCGCATCGTAATCATGTCACTGCCGTCGCCGCCGGGGACAGCGGGGGAAGCCGCAGCGGCGGGATTGACTTCGCCGGGGGGCGTCAGCGCGCTCTGATCGCCGCTCTGCACAGGCGGGTCGAGGGGAAGCCGGGCTTCTGCCGGCGCGACGGCTCCGCGCGACGTATTCGCGGCGGGCTCGAGGGGAATGCGGTGCTGCGGGAGGGGGGGAGGCGCACGGAGGAGAGACGGAACCGTGGGGGGCACGCGACAAGGACACCGCGGCCGTGTAGTTATCCCTCCGTCTCGTAAGGCCACGACTAACCTCGCGGTACAAATAAATTATAGTATCCAGTGCGACGCGACAAGGACACCGCGGCAATGCTCATCACGATGAACTCACCTGCGCTCCGGTTGCCACTGGCGCCTCGCGGACCGCCATGCCCTTGCGCAGCGCGTTCATGTGCGCGAGTGCAGCCGCGTTCTCCTTGACGCCGTACGGCGACCTGTACGGCACGGTCATGGTGCGGCACCGGTTAGCGGGGAAAGAGCACCGGACGAGTGGCTTCCTTTTGTCCGACTCAGACGGAAGGTTTCAACTGATCTCGACTCGCAGTCAACGAGGAACGCACGGCGTTGTTTGCTGTTTCCCTGGTTTGATGCTTGCAATGCAAACTGCCTTCCACAAGCAGCGGAAAGGAATTTGCTAGTAGTGGAAGTGTGGGAGGCATGCAGAAGGCGATACAAATGTGAATTGGAATCAATAGTGCGGGAATGCAGCGCAGCGATGCTCCCAGTCGCACCCGCACGACGACAGCGAAGCTTTCGGGAAGTCGCAGACTCGTAGTCCTGGCCTTGTTTGTCGCATGCATATGATATCCACCAATCATCGAGGCGTCCACACGCGCTCGACAGCCGCATTGTGGTTTAGTTGGGTGGAGATTCCCCGCGAAGCCCCAGGAGTCGCGCACCCTCGATTGCATCAATCACGACTCACCACAATTCGCGATTCACGAGCCGCTTGCGGAAGAGCGTCGTCGTCGCCTTGCCACTGCAATTCCAACACGACGCTGAGCTCGTCGCCAAATTGTGGCGGCACCCTTCCCCGCTCAATCATCCGATCACAGCGCTTTTGCATGGGCTTTGACCCCTCTACAGAGCCGTTCACAAATCGCATCAACGTCAAAAATTCTGTATCTTCATGCAGAAATGGCATTGTTAAAAAGCATGAGGGCATGTGGTTCGCTTTGTCACGTATGGTATATGAACAACCATGCTGGCCCGACCAGGTGATGAATATTCGTCAATTAGAAAAAATAGGGGTGCTGTTTTGCAAAAAAAGGGAGATTTTGCCAGTAAGCAATATTCGCTTGGATGTCCGGGAAGCTTGAAACCTCGACCAAGGAATGAATGGCAGCCAATGGCATATTGATGGCATCTTGTATTCCACTCTCCATTCTGCTGAGTGGGTTGGTCGCAGTATCTACGCAGTGGAATCATTCCGCTCTTCTGCAGCAACCATGGGCGGCACGGGGCTGTCTGCATGTACAGTGAGGCAGGTGGAGCTTCCTTTGAAGTTGTACACTCCCACCAGTGCACGCGCTTGCTCATACACTTGGGGGCGGTGGGATACCACAATGTACTGTGCTGACTGCTGTGCCTGCAGCCACATATGAAACAGTAGAAAACATAGGTAAGAGTTGAATAACGTGTCTGCTCATAGATACAGATTAACAAACTACTTGCTCACAAATGCACCCAGGCAAACAATAATGCTGGGTTCTCCTTCAAATCGATAGAAGAGCAGAAAGCAAGTATGACTGCAAAGTAAGCATGGGTACCTGGATGAAGCGCGCCACTTGCAGGGCGTGCTTGGTGTCCAGCGATGCATCAATCTCATCAAAGAAATAGAAGGGCGAGGGGAAGGACGCCTGCAGGCTGAACGACAGCGCCAGGCATGCCAGCGCCTGCTGCCCCCCGGACAACGAGGCAAACGGCCGCCAACACTGGCGGTCAGGCCGAACTGCATGGGTTAAAGGTGGTTGGGAGGGAGGAGTGGCGTGGATGGGCCAATGCATAAAAAGCGTGAGAGTCGAGTGAGATGTTTCATTACAGAACAGAGGTGGACGAGGACAGAGGCACTGCATGGCGTGTGTGGGGAGCGATGAGAGACTAGTGGAGGTGACATGATGGACAGGGAATCCTATGATGACTAAGTAAAGGCAGAAGATGCAGAGCATGGGGGTTGGCACGGCATGGTACCATGGAAGTGCACGCCATCGGAGAAGAGCAGGCTCTTCTCGTCCACGAACGACAGGTATGCATCCCCATGGCGGGTCAGCTGGCAGTAGATGGCCGACAGGTTCTCATTCACCTGCACAACAACGGCTTTCCCCACACACACACATGCACATGCACACATGCACACATGCACATACACTCACATGCGCACAGCATACACACCAGCAGGCCATTCCATAGTGCGGTTGCATTGTGAGCTTGGTACGCAAGGCAAGCAGATCAGCCCGCACAAGCAATCCCTGGGATAACCACCGTGGGAGCAGCAAAGACAAAAGTGGCAGGGCCAGAGAGACACACGCGCACCTTGAGCAGCGCCCCTCGGAGCTGAGTGAAGCGCTGCATCTCCAGCTCCTCGCGCCGCACTGCATGCATGCGCGCCTGCTCCTCCACCCGCTGCACCTCCTCCCCCACCGCCACCAGCCGCCTCTGGCACCCCACGTCCTCCTGCAGTGCCGCTGCGTCTATGGCACTTCATGGTGTTGGGGGGGGGGAGCAAGGCACAGCATTTGCAAGGTTAAGGTGATGAAGCCGTGATGGCACTGTGATGGTATGGGACAGAAGAGCGGAGCGTGATGGGGGTGGGGGGGTTGAGTAGAGAGTGAGGGCCTGCAGACGAAGGAGGGGCAGGAGAGAATTGAGCGGTTGTGGATAAACCTTCTGGATTGACCATCTCACCTTCGTCTCTTCATGAGCTCCTTCTCCTCCTCAACCACCTCCTCCAGGGAAACACCTCCACATCCTCACCCTCCTCGCCCTCCTCACCCTCCTCGCCCTCCTCACCCTCCTCGCCCTCCATACCACCAGAATCCTCCTCCTCCTCCTCAACCTCATCCTCCTCTTCCTCCTCCACTTCTTCGTCCTCCTCCTCTTCTTCTTCTTCCTCCTCCTCCTCCTCCTCCTCCTCCTCCTCCTCCTCCTCCTCCTCCTCCTCCTCCTCCTCCTCCTCCTCCTCCTCCTCATCCTCCTCCTCCTCCTCCTCCTCCTCCTCCTCCTCCTCCTCCTCCTCCTCCTCCTCCCCTCCTCCTCCTCCTCCTCCTCCTCCTCCTCCTCCTCCTCCTCCTCCTCCTCCTCTCCCTCCTCCTCCTCCTCCCCCTCCATCTGCTCCTCCTCTTCCCCCTCTTCCTCCACCTCCTCCACCTCTTCCTCTCCCCCTTCCGTACTTTCTCCCTCGCCCACTGCACCCCTCTCCCCCTTCTGCCCTTCTTTGATCTCCACTTTTCGAATCACCCTTGTCCGTCTGCTCTCTTGCTTCCCACCCTTTCCCTCACCCTTCTCATCAACGTCCATTGCTGCAGCACCCTTTCCTTCCTCTCCTTCTTCCTCACCACCGCTCACTGCCTCTGCATCCCCCACCCCATGCTCCACCCCCACCCGTGGACCCTCACCCTTCAAATCACCCCTACGTCTTCTGTATGCTTTCCCTGCCACCTCCCCTTGCTTCTCATCCTCCCCACCTCCTCGCTTGCTCGCACCACTCTTTCCGCGTTTCACCTCTCCTTTGCCCTTGCGATGTGCTGAACCCTCCTTCCCTTTCTCCAAGCCCCCTCGGCGCTTGCTGCTCGCCCCATCTCCTGCCGCCTGAAGCCTGCTTGACCTTCTCAGTACGGGCCCCTCTCCTTTCACCACTTCCCCTGCATCCTCTGCCTTCCCCTTGCGTCCTCCCTTCTTTCCGCTCTTCCGAGCCCCCTTCCTTCCCTTCCCCTTCTTCCCTGCACCCACCTTTCGCCTTCTCCGGCTGCGTCCACCCTTCCCCTGCTTCTCTCCCCTGCCACCAGCACCTGTGCTCCTCCCCTCGTTCCCCCCGCACTCTTTGAGCAGCACTGCTGCTCGCTCCAGCCTTGCCGCCAGGTCCGCCAGCTGCTGCCTCGCCTCCACTGCACTGGCCTGCAGCTTCACCTGCCATCATGCCACCGCAGCACACATACATGCAAAACCGAGACTCAGATGCTCGAATGCTTGAGCAGGCGGATACATGACGATGATGCATGTGGGACACAGGTTGAGATGAGATCTTCTAAGAACCACATGCGTGGCATGGTGGGAGGAGAGCATGCAAACGCATACAGAGGGAGCATGATAGAGCATGTTGAAGCATATGAGCAGAAAAAACGCAGCAGCAGCATACCAGCGAGGCCATGAGCTTGCCACGTTTGGCCTTGAGCGCCTTCTCCTCCTCCGCTGCCTCCTCACTCTCCCTCCTCGCACTCTGCACCTCCGCTTGCCTGTGGCAGGATACAACACACAGCAGAAAAACGTATGGGACGCGGGAGGGCGGAGAACTTATGGTTGTTGTGGATGGAAGATAGGCAGCATGCCCGTGCACGTGACAAAGAGATGCATACCATACACGCAAGCCTGATTGTACACGGGCGTACCCGAGTGTTAAGAGCTAGTAGCAAATGCATTTCTGCACCACATGACAGCCATGCCATACTGCTGCTCGTGACACGTGCCACCCTAGATATACACACACGCCTCACCTGCTATCCCTCGCCTCCTCCAGCCTCTTCACTTGTGCCTCCATCTCTCGCATCTCATCCTCCTCTTCCCCTTCCTCGCCTCCTTCCACTGCCGCATCCCCCTTCCCTCCTCCCTTTCCCTTTTTGCCCTTCCCATGCCGACCACCCTGCCTTGCTGCCCCCTTGCGCCCACCAGCATCCTCACCAGCCTCCGCACGGCTCTCGGCCTCAGTGCGCAGCACAGCACACAGCGACTGCTGCACACACGCCAGCTCCACCCTCTCCTCCCGTGCCTTCTCCTCCACGTCCTTCACTGCTCGCCTGGCCCGCACCACCCTCTCTGCATGCGCGGATATCTCCGCGTCGCCCATCCACTCCGCCACTCCCATGCCACACCTCCCTTCTTGCTTCTTCCCTTGCCCCCCCTCCACCTCTGCCACTACAGCCTGCAGCCTCCTCTGCACGTCCAGCAGCCTCCCCCTCTGCGCCTGCACCTGCCCTGCTACTACCCTCACCTGCCGCCTCATCTCCTCCCTCTCTGCCTCACACCTCTCCACCTCCCTCTGCAAACCACCCAACGTCTCCACACCACCCCCCGTCAACTTCTTCTCCTCCTTCCTCTTGCCCCTGCCCCTCCCGCTTTTCGTCTGTACCTTCACTCCGTCATCCTCCCCACCCTCCTCTCTCCTCCCCTCAGCCATCAACCGTTCCACCTCCCTCTCACACTCCTCCCGTTCCACCCACAGCTGCTTCCCCCTCGCCTCCTTCTCTGCTATAGCACACTGCACGCGTCCCATCTCCTCCTCAACCGTCCTCACTGCTCGCTGCAACGCCTCCTCACGCTTCTGCTTTCTCTCTGCCTGCTCAATTGCCTCTTCTCCAGCCCTCCCCTCTCTGCCAGCAGCAGCAGCGCCCTCCAGTGGCGCAAGGTGGTAGCGGGCCATTGCAGGGGAGAGGCATGCTCGGATCACCTCGCCATCCTGTGCAGGTAGCGGAAAGGGTTGGCGGGAGGGAGAGAGGAAAGGGTGAGCGGGGGAGAGAGGAAAGGGTGGGCGGGGGAGAGAGGAAAGGGTGAGCGGGGGAGAGAGGAGACAGGATGGGGTTGGCAGGAAAGGGGGCGGCGATCAGGTGCGCAAAAGTGAGACAGGAAAGCGTGGGCGGGAGGGGGAGAGGATAGGAGGGCCGGGAGTGAGGGAGGGGAATGGGTGGGCGGGAAAGAGAGGGAGAGCATGGGGTGGGCGGCGGGAGGGGGAGAGAAGGCACAACGAATGCAGAAGGGACCAATTATTGTCATTGGACGACCAGTTCCACAAAACGATTGCAATCACAGCATGTGTCACTGAACTGCCACAGAAACACAACAGAAAGGGAAAGTACTGAATGCAAGAACGCAAGGCCCAACCCCTCTTCTCACTCCCTCTCCCTGCACCAATCCCCCCATCCCCCTTTCCCCCACTCCCCCAATCCCCTCTCCCTGCACCAATCCCCCCATCCCCCATTCCCCCAATCTCCTCTAAATGCTCTAATCCCCCCATTCCCCGTTCCCCCAATCCCTTCTCCCTGCACCAATCCCCCCATACCCTTTCCCCCCAATCCCCTCTTCCTCACCTGTCTAAACACATCACCCCCAGCAGTGACAACACTGCAGCGCCTCCAAGCGGGGTTCTGGCGCAGCAGTGGCAGCAGCCTGACAGCGTCCTCTCGCCTTGCCACCAGCAGCCATGACGCACACAGCCGCGCCAGCACTGCATGGCACCCTGGCGCACAGCGCACCGCACACAGCAGCCACTGCGCCCCACAGGGCAAGGGGGCGGCGAGGTGGGGAGGGGGGACGCAGGGCAGGAGTGATGCAGGGTGCGGTGGGGCGAGGTCTCCCGCTGGCCGATGTTGCTGCTGGTGGTGGTGGTGTGGAGTGGGGAGTGCTTGGCCCGACTGCTCGTCCAGAATTTCACAGGACACGAGGCCTATGCGGTGCTGCTCAAAGTGCCCCACCACTGCTGCTGCTGTCCTCCGATCCTCCGTCACAAACCTGCCACGCACACCACACAGCATGTGCACACGCACGCACGCGCACACACACACACACGCGCGCGCGCGCGCGCACACACACACACACACACGCACACACACACACACACACACACACACACACACACACACACACACACACACACACACACACACACACACACACACAAACACACACACACACAGCAGAACAGCACAGCGCAGCACAGGCATGCGCGCATCGGCAGGACACAGGTTACAGGCCATGCATGATGGATGTCCATGCAGGTTGCATGACACATACTCCAGCGACCACTCACATCTCCTCGAACCGACCACGCACAGAACAAGAAACAAACTTATTATCCATAACCAGACAGATACAGATGGGGCTGTGGAACTAACAGCAGGACTCACGTGGCAGCGAGGTTGCAGGAGAGGGAGAGCACGCTGTTGACAGCAGCAGCAGCAGCGTGCCCCTCCACTCGAGCCAGCTCACACAGCCGCCCCCTCAGCCTGCCCTTGGGCAGTGTCCTCATCAGCTCCATTGCTGCCCTGTCATATGCCTCGTACCGGCCACCTTTCGCCCTCCCCTCACCACCTCGTTTGCTGCCCGTCCCACCATTTCCTCCTCCTGCCTCCTCCTGCTGCTGATCCTGCAGTCGCTGCATCCGTGCCTGAGCGCCAGTGGGGGCGTGAGGGGTCAGGGCAGCGAGGGAGGGGAATGAAGAGAGGTTGGGGTGGAGGCCGGGAGGGAAGCTCAGCGGATGGGCATGGTACGTTCCCTATGCCATATCTTATGAAGCAATGCCCACGTTCCACCCACACGGGTGGGTGAAAATGTCATGGAGAAGCAGCGAATAGGAGTCATGAATGAGAGAGACGTGCGACATTGTGGGCATGTATGGTATGGTAGCAGCACTGACCTGCAGCGCAGCAAGGGTGCCGTGCAGGGCCGGCAGCTCTCGCTCCCCCACCCGCTCTGCCTGCTCCAGCAGCCCCCGCAGTCGCTCCTGCGCTGCCCGCACCACCTGCTGCCGCTCCCTCCTCCTGCTCTCCGCCTGCTGCACACGCCACTGCAGCCCGTGCAGCTGCCGCGCGAGGAAACATTGCAACATGAGGGTGTGCCAGCCAAGGGGGTGGGGGTGGCCGGAAGGGGATGGTCAATGAAAGCGGGAAAGAAGGTTCTAATTGCAGCCTGAAGGGTTTATTTCAATGCCTCGAAGATTGTGTCTTGCATTGTGCCTGAACAACCTTGCTTGGTCACAGATGTAACCTCTATGACCCTTGAGGGCACCAACGAAAAACGCACACAGCTCTCGTATGCTCGCGCAGTGCAAGGACGCATGCCATGCACCCTTTCCATGAAAAGAGGGGACGAATTGATGTGGCGAGAGTTCTAGAGGAATTTCATGCTTACATAGGTTTACTTGCATACCTTCTCCTCGCTCTCCTGTATGCCCTTGGTTGCTTCTGCCCCTTGCTCCTCCAGAGCCTTGATCCTTGCCTGCACTCAGCCACTCATGCCAACCACACGCACTCCACTGAGTCAGAGAATCCAAAAGACGCACTAGTTAATGAGCCAAACGTGCAAAGCTACAAGCACACAGAAATCATGCACATCGCAGAACACCCCTTCAAGCCCCAGCCTAGCGCCCACCTGCATGTGCTGCTCCTCTTCCCTCAGTGCCACCACATCCTTCTGCCACTGCACCACTGCTGCCACTGCACCCGCCACACTCCCCCCCTCCCCATCACCAAGCCCACACTCCTCGAGCTTCGCCCTCAGGTGCTTCTCCTCCTCCTCCGCCTGCCCCTGCAGCAGCACCAGCATGTCCTCACTGCGCGCCAAGCTCTCCTCCAGCCGCGCCCTCTCCCCCTCCAGCTTCGCCCTGCGACCTGCAGCAGCTTTCGCCGCGCGCCTCTGTGCTGCCTCAGCCTGAGTGCGCTGCCGCCTCGCCTCCTTCACCCGCACCTGCACGTGGGAGGTACGGTGGCAGTGGGGATGGTGCATGCATGTGCATGTGAATGGGAGCAGCAGCAATTATCAGCGTGTGCCAGCACAGGGAGCATGACGCATGAACAGCAAAGCCTAGTGCAGCAGCGCATTGCACGAGGCACATGTGACAACTGATTTCTCCATGCAACATTGCAGATGATACAGTGGCAGCAGTGGCACGGGAAAAACAGAAGACCCTTGTCAACCCATGTCAACCCAATCCATCCACATGCCTCAACTTCTCCAGCACCCTTTGGCTGAGCCATGCACGCACCTGGGCCTTCACCAGCGCCAGCTGCTGCTGCTGCCAGCTTGCCTGCGCTGCTGCCAGCAGGTAGGATGCGTGAGTGGTGCGTGCTGCTGCTGCCAGGTGCCGCTGCCGCGCTGCTGCCATTCCTTCCTCTGCCTCCTGCCATGGCCACGACGAGACGAGACGGTTGGAGCGGAGGGAGGGTGTGTAGAGTGGAACAGGCCAGGGAAGAGCAGTGCTCGCAAGAGGAAGCAGGAGAGTAGGGACCGCAGGAGGTGATGCGGACGCAGGTGCATGCTTTGGTGAGTGTGGTGTGATGGCATCAAGGCATGAGTTGGGTTGGAGCAGGGAACCTCCATCACAGGGCGGCAAGAGGCTGAGAAGCATGCCATGTGTGGGCCATGCGTGCAGTGCAGCATGGGTGGGAAAGCAGAGAGTGGGCCCACCTTGCTGTGGCTCTGCACGGACTGCATCTGGCGCTCCAGGCCATTCATGCGCTGCTGTGCCGCCTCCTTGCTCCTCCTCAGCCCTCGCAGGTGACTTGCTAGAGCCATTCTCTGGACCCCTCCCACACACATTGGTTAGCAACATGGACGAGTCAGGAAAACGAGGACATGCACAATGTGAAACCGGATGTTGGAAAGTCGGAAAGCGTTGTAATAATAATGCGAGGAAATTTCCACACGATTGTCCTCACCTTGCGCTTCTGGAATTCTTGCCAGTCGCACTGGAACCTGCATTGAGCCCACCGGCACACCAAAAAGGGCACAGAAAACGAATGCACTGAAACAACAGAGCCACACGCATACAGCAAGGTGAGAGAAGCAGTTTGTTAATAAATTCTGGTCGAGGAACCCATACCCAAGCTCATGCCAATACCCCTACCCATTCATACCCATACCCATACACATGTCCATAATCATCCCCATCCCCATCCCCATCCCCATCCCCATCCCCATCCCCATCCCCATCCCAACATGCATACCTGCGCCAGCAGTCAACAGCGGGTCGGAGCTGCTCGCGCCTGTGCAGCAGCTGCTGCTGCTCTGACCGCACGGCCTCACGTGCTGCCTCCACGCGCTGCAGCTCCACGCCCACCGCCTCTATCGCCTCCTCCAGGTGCGCCGTGCCCACCAGCCGCTCCACATACTGCCCACACTCGAGGAGAAGGGGGGATGGAGGGGGAGGGCGAGGAAAGGGAAGGAAACGGGAAGGGAAGGGAAAGGGAAGGGCGTGAACTTCAATACGCCATGATCAGGCAGAGCGAGACACGGGAGTACAAGAACAGAGGTGTTTGTGCTGAACGGCTAAGCAAAGGATGGATTCTTCAACGTGAGTATGTAGCGCAAGGCAGTATCCTTGTTGGCTCAGAACTACATCAGTAGAGGCGTGGCGACCAAGGCATCAAGGAGGTGCAGCCGAGGCATACATGTGTGTTGTTGCATGTGTTGGCAATCGTTGAAAGCAGCAGCCAGAGAGCAGGATGGAAGGGTACCTTGACGAGTTGAGTGGGCGTCTGGACTCTCACTGCCTGCTGCTGCTGCATCACAATGAACCTGTACGCGCAAAGGGGGAGTGCAGGACAGCGGCTCAAGGCGAGCTAGATGGCAGTGACGCACGGCCATCTTATGAGAATGCATGCATGAGTCAGCTTCTATGCAAATGCGACGCGTGTTGCATAAGAATGGTGCAGGGGTCGCGGCGGCACCTGTCAATGCACTCCGTGCGAATGCCCAGTTGCAGCAGCTCACTCCTCAGATTATTCGCATTCACAGTCCTGCCAAGGTCAGACGCGCACCACCAGCACGGATTAGCAGAACGAGCTGATTGAGACCACGCAAGGAGGAGGCAGGGCAGGGCACGAAGAACACAGACCTCTTTACGCCGTCCCGTTTGATGGAGTAAACGCTGCTGCCTGTTGCACACACTCGCCGCGTCACCTTCACCTCAGAGGTGCTCGGAAAAGAAACTGCAGCAGAGCCTTGGCTTCCATTGTCGTCGCTGTTCCCGTGCTCTTGCTCGCAGCCACCCACAGCCATGCTACCCTCCTCTTCGCCTTTCCTTTCCCCACCACACGCTGTATCGCCATCTTCGCCTTTGCTTTCCGCCACGTCACTGACCTCTTCGCCTGAAACATGCGCCCCGGTTTCATTTTCGGCATTGGACTCTCTTTTTATCTGCTCCAATCCTGGTATCTTCTCATCCTTTCCTGTCACAACCGCTGCTGGCTTCGAGGCCGAAACGGACAGGACTACAGATACCTGCCACGCGAGAAGCGGCTGTTAAACAGAAGACACAAAATCTCGTCGCCCAACGAATATGTACGAAGCCGCTACCCAATCCTAGTCACGCCCGACACAGTAGTAGTTTCCAATCGAATTTCTGAACTTGAATCGAAACGCCAGTGAGCCGTGCTTCCTGATCTTTCCGGCAGTACCTTAGCCGTGGCCTTGCTTCTGTCTTTGCGCTTCGTCGCCTGGTTAATCAGATCCCCTGCGTGCGACTCGCGCATGCTGCGAGTGGACGCGCCGAGCGCGAAAGCGAGCGCTTCTCCCACCACCTGAAATTGAGCGCGTTACAGTCGCAGCTGCGGACACTCCGCGCGGCTCCCTGGCCGCACGGGTCCTTTTGAAAGGCAGCGAGACAACACGAGGCAGCAGTCTGGTGGACCTCACCGATTTCCCCGAGCCATTGCAGCCGATGATGCACGTGAAGTCGCTCAACGGGCCAATCTCAACCTTCTGCTTGTAACTCTTGAAGCCTTGGATGCTCATGCGCAATACGTGCAGGCTATAGCTATCGCTAGTTCCAGGCGCATCGCCGCAATCAGTTGCTGACGACTCCATTCCGTCCGCGGAGCTCGCCTCCTCACACGCTACGCTGTCTTCCTGCTGCTGCGTCATGGTATGCCGCACTAGAAGTATCTCTATGAGCTCGCTTTCTTCCTTAATAAGGATTCAGAACAGAAGCATCAGTGACGTGCTCCTTGCCTCCCTGTGCGAGGCTCGAGGCAATATCCATGTGCAATTATCAAGAATCCTTGGTAGCATGGAGGCGCGGCTGACACTTCAAAAATGGTTGCATTTATTTCGTGAGCTACACAGATAGTTGACAGGATGTACCATATCATTATATAGAGGCATTATTATCAGTATCATTCCGATGTTCTTGGTTTAACATTTCATGCAAGCCAAAATGGAGCTCAAACAAATAGCATAGAAACATAAAGGTCTCGCAATGTAAAACAGCCAAAGCGGATGCATGACACAGCAATATGCCAAAAGCATCCCTCACAGCAGCTGTGGCAGAACAATCTGCGAAATCCCTCGTATCAGACCAGACACAAAACCCTACCAGCCATGAAAGCCACCACCCCAACAGCCAGTTGCAAGCAGTGCCTCCAAAGAGCAAGGCAGAGCTTACAGCTTGTCCTCCCACTCGGAGAGGGGAGGAGGCTGAAGCTTGATACCCTTGCGCTTGCGGATATCCTCCACAATCTTGAACGCCTGGGTGCCGGCCTCCAGGGGATCCGACGTGAGCATCTCCCAGTGGTCGAACACGCACTGAGGGAACGCTTGCCCGGACGTGGCAGCGCGCAGCTGAGCAGAGAAGCCGAAACTCTCAATGACAGGGAGATGCGCCTTGATGTTGTACAGGGGCGTGCCCGGCCTCTGCAGCTCCTCAAACACCTGCCCACGCTTCTGATTGAGCGTGGAGTAGATGCCACCCAGAGCACCCTCTGGCGCCTGGATCTCCACCAGGTACACGGGCTCCAGCAGGCGCGGCTTCGCAGTGAGCTGCGCGGCGTAGAACACACGGCGAGCCGTGGGAATGAGCTGGCCACCACCACGATGAATGGCGTCAGTGTGCAGCACCACATCGTACAGCTCGAATGCAATGCCACGCATGTTCTCCTCAGCCAGGGCACCCTCCTTGCTGGCCCACTGGAAACCAGCCACCACATGCTCCCTGATTTCAGACAGGTACTGCACTCCCTTACACATGTCGACAATGATGTTAGGCCCCATGGTGTCGGGCCCGAAGCACCAAATCTTGCGAGCAATTTCCTTGTCCCAGCCGAACTCCTTGGTGAGAATCTCAACACGGGTCTTGGGGTCATCACGGGGGCCAATGCGACCCTCGTCGATGGCCTCAGGGAGACCCTCCTCCAGGGGCCTGGCCTGGAAGTAGAGCCTGTTGTGCTTGTTGGGGGACTTGGCCATCACCGTGCGCTCACTGTGGTCGAGCACAGTCTCACGGAAGGACACCACAGGGTCCGAGATAATGATCTCAGCTCCTCCCATGAAGTCCTCCTACATTGCAACACAAGAAAAAGACAAGCACCAGGTGGTGGGTTCAGAACTCGTGTGTACATTTTCAATGTCATCAATGTGCAAGAGGAAGCACAACTGACCTGGAGATCCTTGAGGCAAATCTCGAGATGCAGCTCGCCAGCACCAGCCACAATGTGCTCGCCGCTCTCCTCAATGGTGCACACCACCATGGGGTCAGACTTGCTCAGGCGCTTCAGCCCCTCGACCAGCTTGGGCAGGTCAGACGCCACCTTGCACTGCACGGCCACACGCACGACAGGCGACACCGAGAACTTCATGGCCTTGATGGGGTGCGCGTCCACCTCCTTTTCGCCGGTGAGCGTGGCGTTCTTGGTGATGAACTGGTCCAGCCCCACCATGGCCACCGTGTTACCGCAAGGCACGTCCTCCACAGACTCCTGCTTGCGCCCCATCCACACGACCGTGCGCTGCACCGACTTGACGTACAGGTCCTTCTTGCTGCCCGGCACATAGTTGGGGCCCATGATGCGCACCTTCATGCCAGTCGCCACCTTACCAGCGAACACACGCCCGAAGGCGAAGAAACGACCCTTGTCAGACGCGGGAATCATCTTGGACACGTAGAGCATGAGGGGGCCCTCGGGGTCGCAGTTGCGGATAGCAGCGGCGTACTGGTCGTCCAGGGGACCCTCGTACAGGTTCTCCACACGGTACTTCTGCGCCTTGGCGGGCGACGGCAGGTGGAAGATCATCATCTCCAGCAGCGCCGCCTGGGCGGGGAGCCACGCCTGCATGGTACGCTTCATGAGCGGCTTGCCGGACAGCTCCTTGGCGTCGCTGGGCAGCACGGCGTGCAGCTTGTCCAGCATGGGAAACAGCTTCGTCTTCTCGTCGTTCATTGCCGCCGAGATGACCTGCGCCGTCGGGACAAGGTACATGTGTTAATTATTGCGAATCTGGGCAGCAGAAGGGCACGAAGATGGGCAAAAACAAACGGGCAAGCAAACGGGCAAGCACATGGACAAGCAGATGGGCTAGCAGAGCCAACGGCACGCAGATCTACGACGAACCTGCTTGATGGGGTTGTAGCAGAACTGGACGAAACCGCGAGAGCAAGTGGGCGAGCCGGTGTTCTTGGTGGTCCACTTCTTGGTGGCGGTATCGAAGAAGTTCTCACCCCACAGGCGCTCCATCATCTTCTTGCGGTCGACCTTGAACTTGTCAGCGTACATCTTGGCGAAGTTGGTCAGCGTGAACGCCCACCCGTGAAGACCAGCGGAGAACGCCACGGTACCCTTCTCGGGTGCCACCATGACGTCGCCAAGCAGCTTGTCCTCGTACGTAGCCATGATGACGTTGCTGTTCTCAATCACACGACGGAACGTCTGTGCAAGGCAACGAATTCGAAACATTACAAAAATGAATAGATGGAACACGAGAAAACAGATTCGAATTGTTTTAATTTCACCGTTAGATCGCGAGGCTTAAGCTAAAGATGAGGATGCGAACCTGGTAGGCCTCCTCGCCGTCGAGCTGCAGCTCCAGGAAGCAGCGATCCATCTTATTCACGGTAAGAACTGGCCGAATACGCTCACCAAGGGCCTGCAGCAAGCACATGTCATTTATTAGACCAGTGAGGCAGCAAACCACTAAAGTCTGAGCAGGGTATAGCAGATAGGCGACTTGCCTGGCGCAGCACGGTCTCGGTCTGCACGCAGACACCCTCGATGCAATCCACGACGACGAGAGCACCGTCAGTGATACGAAGAGCAGCAGTGACCTCAGACGAGAAGTCAACGTGGCCGGGCGAGTCGATCAGGTTGATCAGATACTCGTTTCCGTCCCTGGGACCTTCCAGACCGTCCAGCTCCTCATCAGTCATCTGGTAGTAGAGCGAAATACCAGTGGACTTGATGGTGATACCACGCTCGGCCTCATCGGCGCGAGTATCTGTTAGACGAACATCACCGGCAGTCTCCTGCGCGATGATACCAGCAGCAGCCACGAGCGAGTCGGTGAGAGTCGACTTGCCTGTAAACAGACACGGAATGCAAATAAGGGAACCACGTTGAACCTCCCAGATCTACACACGCAACAAAACCTGGACCGATAATGGATCTGTTCATGGTGTAGTAACAAATATAAGATCGAAGGAAGCATGGCGCTAAAAGGAAATGATACGGAAGAATCGAATGAGTTGGAGGTGGTGATGAAGGGAGGAAAGGGGGGATTGGGGAGTGAAGGGAAAACGGAGAACTACGAGTTTTTCAGCTTGTGAACCAACCAGCCCCAAAACCCGGCTTCGATTGCTCAATCTACAGAAAGGAGAACCATTAGAGCGACGAGATGAGCTTACCGTGGTCCACGTGCGCAATCACGGACATGTTACGGATGTTGTTCTTCTTGTCCATGATGGCGCGCAAATCTTCGAACGTAAACTTCACCTGCAGTTCATAGACACACAGCCAAGTAGATTCGAAAAAAATCGAAATACGTAAGCAAAGTTAGCACGAAGCGAATCCGGAAGAATATCCACGGTAACAGCGTGATTACACATGAACATTACAGAATAGGGGACGACGCGACGTACCATCTTGGCTGATTGAAGGGATACCAGCCACAGAGGCAAAAGGGATGATTTGTCAAGAAAGGAGTAACGTGAGCTTCTACTCCCAGCGGAGCTAAGAGATCCGAGAGAGAAATGAGAAAAGAGGAATGTTGAAGAGGACGTTAGGAGGCTTCAACCCCTCCCAGCCCCAAACCCCCTCGCTCCTTTCCCCCTTCCCCAGCAGCCCATGTGCCAAAGATTCCGCCGCGTAGCCCACACGTCAGCTGCAATGCTGGCGCGGGGAGTAGGGGGAATTCTCTCAACAAGGGCGCTGTTGGGGGAGTCTGACGTGGAGGATCGACCATATCAGCAGATCCAACGGCTTAAACACCACGGAGATTGACGGAAGTTGGATATTCCTCGAGGGAGGAACCAGTAGCGTGCGCTCATTTTCTGTGTTCTTGGGCCGAGGGAAATTGCTAACCTGCTGCACCATCTTGAACTGACTCAAAATACTGCAAGAAATGACAAATACTAAAACTACCAAGACAAATTAGCACCAACCTCATGTGTGAAGGAAGTTCCATTACAACCTCATGTTTCAGCGGTTTTTACAAAACTTTCCACGTGCGTAAACTTGTTGCATAGGTAGGACTAGCTTCCTTACCATGTTTTCAGAGTGAAAAAGTTCATCTACGGATAAAAATATTAACGCTTACCCTATTCCCTGGTGAAGTGAAGCTGAACCTTATCCCAACAATGGCCGTATTTCTACTGTGCCAACACCAGATGGAATGGTACTGTATTCCGTCTTCACGAAAGGAGGTTGATGGATTCAACAGGTGATTTGAAAAACATATGACGCTTTCCCATGTTCTCTTCAAAACAAGTGTATGCACGGCTTCATATTTATGGAAAAGGGTTTCGAAATCAGAATCATATGAAATTGTATTCCAATACACGGTAGTAACTACAGCATGGTCACGTTATCCATTAAATCAGA